AAAAATCTACGAATATTCAAACATGCGAAGATAATTAAAAAAATTTTTCATATAACAAACAAATTTTATATGATTAATATTTAATAAATTAATAATTTTGCAATTACACAAGGTAAATTTATTCCATATAATAACTTAATTTGTATATACGAATATTTCTTATACTTAAGCATTATTTCCAATTAAATATATCCCTATCTACAATTAGTATATTCGTATAATAGATATAAAAGAACTTTTAATATAGAATATGGATATTCTTTATCGTTTTGTTGTTTCTAAATATTTTCATAGCCCTTTATATGCTCATTATGTCATTATTGATGTAAATAAATGAAATTCTTTATATTCAGTAAAGTAACCTTCAAACCGTCAATTAAGCTAGTTCACACGCGATATACATTAACGGCACTTTAACATATTCTCGATTTGTAGAATTTATCAACAAATAAATCATTTCCGCGGAAAACGAGAAAACATAAATATATAAAAATTATGATATTATGATGTACACATGCAATGATATATCGAGTGAATGATACAGAAACCGGACAGTCATTAAAAATTAGAGGCCACGCGCAGATGGCATAATTAATTGACCAAATCATTTTTTTTTTCTTTAATTATTTAAGTCAAATTTCATTAAATTAAAAAAATGTAATTATTATCTTTGTTGCGGAAATTAAAAATTTAATGATCGCAAAAAGTTTGTAAATTTATCTGTATTATTGATCTTTGATATTCGCAACAGAATTTTTATATATTTTATATTTTATAGATCAATGGTTTCTATTACAGTTTTCGCGATTATCAAAGACAAACAATACCAATAAATGCATAGCCAAGTAGTAGTTTATCAAATTCTCTTAAAAATGTGCACTTTGAAAAATTATTATTTTTGTGTACAAATCGTGTTTTGAAAATATGATTAAGAAAAAAAAAAATAAAAAACCGTCAAAATGTATCTAAAAAGCTTCTAGTATTTAGACTAAAATATTTAGACTTTAGATACAAAATTTCGATATCTATTTTTTTTTTCACGTCTCAATAATATATTTTGATTATTTATATCCAATCGTGAGATTACATTTTTTAATAATAATAATAATAATATTATTATTTATAATATTTACCAAGATATTGATTTGTATTTTTCATATTTGTATATTGATTTGTATATCAATATACTTTCAAAGATGGTAAAATTAATTCAAGGAATTACTTTCACAAGCACATTTCAAATGCCTGTAGGCAAAATAAAATAGTAGATATTAAATTGTATTTGTTTGATTTTTTAAAAATTTTATTTATTAATTTTATAAATGTTATCTCGTATCCATCAATTGTTTAACACAATATTAAAGGTATTATATCTTTGCTTAAAAGGATTTTAAGATTACTCATATTTAAAATTAAATATTAAATTAATTAATGTGTAATAAAAATAATAAATGATTAGTATAAAGTTTTATCCTTTATATAAAATAGACTTTCATTAATTTAATAAAACTTTCTCTAAATATTTCAACTTATTATTACACATAATTAATTAGATGTTGATTCATCTTACATATTCTTATTGTATCTTCATTTTTAAAATTAAATATAGTAACTTAAAATGTTAGGTAAATATTTTTAAGTAGTAATAGTAATTAGATTTAATGATACAATGTGTAATTATTCATTTCATTGTAAATATTTGTAATTTGTGATATTTGTAAAATTGAGATACCGATTACAATAAACGCAATTTAAAAGAGAAGTTTACTTTATTTAGGAAAAGGAAAATTGTATCGGCAATTATATATTATTTGAGCCTTATTTCAATTCCTAAAAATAGATTAGCTCGAAGCTGGAGAGGAGTTCTTAAAAAACTTAGTTATAAGAAATAATGTAAACGTTATTAACCACACATAAATAAATACAATAAAATATATAGATTATATAGATTATATAAATGGATAAATTGAACAAGTTTATAAAAATATGTTTCACTTTTAATTAACAAATAAAATTTAATTTAAAAATAAAGATAAATAATTATTTTTATAGTTAAAATTTTAATTAAATTAAAATATTTATGCATTTTAGAAGAATAAAATATAGATATTATCGTGTGAAATTGATTACATTATATAATAATAAAATATTTAACTTGCTTTCAACATCTAATTATAAAAAATAAATTTTAATTTTATAAATTTACTTGCATTGCTATGAAGAGAAATTATATATATATATATATATATATATATTTTTATAAATATTATGATGCACATGCAAATGGAACAGATAATAAAAGTATTAAAGGGATCGATCGACAAAATATGGGATTTGATTTTTATTTAATTTTTTCATAGTCGCGGAAATGTTAATACAACAAAGAGATATTAAATTAATAATGTTTATTTAAAAGCCTTCTTCAAATTAAAAAATATACGGATAATTTTATTAAACAAAGTTTGTAAGATCATTGTTCACACGTAAAATTATTTTATAACAAAATGTTTCTTTCGAAAATTTATATAAAGCATTAACAATATTTCTTACATAAGACTATTTTAAGATTATTTATTCTCTTACATAACATCCATTTCACAGACATAAACATAATTTATTATGAATTATATAAAATTTATAAAAACTTATCAACATTAAATTTAATTTTTAGTCGTACATTTTGTAAATAATTTTACTCTAAGATATTAGTGAAATTCGTTACTAAGCAACGAAATATAAAATTCTAAAAATTATTCTACAATAAATATAAGATATTCTTTTCTTTACACGTATCAAATGTGACAAAGAAGAGTACAAAAGGTAGCATAAGATAATAAATAATTTCCTTAAAAGCAGATGTTAATCAAATTAAATGTATAAAATCGAGCGTATATTATAATTAAAATATTATAAAACTATAAGGAGCACGCATTAAGACAATTATAATTTGGATTTGATAGTGACGAAATAAATACAGATAGGTTCGTTATAGAAACCAATTATTATTCAATTAATCAAAAACTCAACGTATTTCATTCATTATTGACTCGGTACACCTTCGTATAGACAATTTTTTTTCTTGTATTTGAAATAAAAACAAAATAGAACATACATATTAATTGAATTCCTGTGGTACTAATAATTACTTTCATTCTCGTTTTCTTATTTTTATGCCAATTACTGTATTATTGTTTCATAATTTTATGACTTTGTGTTCACATTGTATTTATTGGCGAGCATATCAGGGTAACATAAATCGAAAAATGATAACTTATTGATGTTTTTATTTTTTGTTTTTTTTTTAGTCTCAATTTACATAGCGATTATTTCGATTTTTATTCTTCTTTCATTCTTATCCGACAATATCGTCAAGATTACGAATTTTCCGGCACACGAAGAAGGCGATTCAAGGCTATTCTTCGAATTTACGCCTTTCTTAAGGAACATATCGAGCCTTTGTTTATAATATTTAATTGTAATTTACGTGAAAGTCGCCAATTTGTTAAATTTTAATCGTAAGATGCTTTTGATGTCACCATAATGCACCATAATTAAATAAAATCATGTTTTTTTTTTTAGAGACCTTAATTCGTTACTTCTTCTTTGAAATATATAATAAGAACACAAATGATAATTACAAAATGTTTTTATATGTTATTAAATTCAAAATCATGTCAAGGTGTGTTAATGTTTAGATTTAAAATTTTTTTTCCGAAATATTCATTTAGTATTTTTTTTTCCAAAATTTAGAATATCATATAATCAATTATAATAAATGGAATAAATTTAATAAATTATACACGAAAGACCTATTAATAAATTGGTATAATAGCTGTAGCTTTATATAATAGCTATAAAATAAAATAAACTATAATAGCCATAAAATAAACGCCTAATATTTTTATTTCATTGTGCAAATTAGTTACTTTACCAAATCTTTAAAATTTTTTTTAAATAGTTCAATATAAGATTTTATTTATTGATAAATTATTTCATATCAAGCAGCATCTTAGTAAATTACAGGAGACAAAATTAAAATAGCATAATTAATAATAAATAATATATAGCATTAAGATTTGAGGCTTCTTAGTTTAATAAGGATATCAATATGTCAAATTTGATAAAGTTTATTAAAGAATACGAGATATCCTTCACTGCCTATAATTTAAAATACATAACCCACTTATAATAAGTTCATAGTGTGTACAGTACAGTATATATGAACGACTCCTTTATAATTATAAAATTAATTCGAAAATAATTTCACAAGCAAACATAAATATTTTTAAAATCTTTGCCCGCACACACATACCATATATATATATATATTTATATACATACATACATACATACATACACACACACACACGCGCGCGGACACAGATATATGATGACAATAATCTTTTAATTTATTTTTTACTTGTCACGGTAGTATTATATTAATTGTAAACAATAGTTAAAGATCATAAACTACTTGACTAGTATCATAATTTAAATTTCTCTAATTATTATTAGAGGGATTCTTATTCTTATGAATGATTGCAGCTCAAATACTTTAGTCGATACTTTATGTAATCGAGGATACAAAGCCTCGATTAAACCTTTCAAAACCTATCCTAAGGTAAATAGGAAGTCTTATTTAATTAAAGTGAATTACATGATGATTCGATAAACGTAATATTAAATAAGAAATCAATTAATTATTCAAATGAAAAATTCTGTCCTTACGTATTGTCAATTTAATTTACGTAAAAACAATACTAGGTTTTTAATACTCGTTTTTTCTTCATATTAAAATTATAAACAAACAAATATTTTAATTATAGTAATACTAATATTACCAAGAAATAATTGAAATATTCCAATAAAACTATTGATAACAACAAATTTTATGATAATGAGAGCCATTTTAAATTTATTTAAATTCTATCTATAAATATTTTCATATACTCACGTCCAAGCGTAAAGAGTTTTTATATAAAACATTTTTTACCCTCTTTCTTGCTCTCTCAATTTTTTCTTTCAATATTTTTCAAGCTCTCTCCTCTTTCATTCTTAATTTCTCATATCCAATGAATATCAACGACTTTATTTGTCTCGGTCTTTTTCTCTTTAAGATGTACATATTTAGAAATATGATTTTATTCAGAAGTATCATAGGAATGTACCAAATTAGTGGAACGAATTTTTCTATAAATTACTGTTCAAGCCAAGAAGGCAATGATGAATTTGGGGATTTAACTTTTATGTTAAATTGCTTAAGTGTTGCTTCTAATGCTGTTTGATTTCCAGAGAAATATGCTGACACTGCATTGTGGAATAGTAGAAGCTGCTTGTGCATTACTTTGATCTGTGTAAGAAAACGAATGATTTGAACAGTAGTAGTTTATAAAATTCTATTTCTGTATAATTTAATGAAATAATTTTTAATATTTCATAATTTTAAGTTAATATAATTAAATCTTATAAAAACTTTTATTAATAGCCGCTTTCAAATTGAAAATGTAATATGTTTCAATGTATAATATTACATTTAATGATAAATTAATTTTACTTTAAGCTAATTAAATTTAAGCTAATTGAATACTTACTCTATTTTCATCTAAAAATTTAAGTTTTATTGAAACATCAGCACGTAATTTTTCAAAATTTTGCTTATGTAAGTCATAATTTTGTTGTGCTTCCTCTAATTTAGCAACGTTATTTCCATCAGTTTTAGCAGCCTGTGCTAAAGCCTCTAAATCTGTTCTGTACGCATCATATTCTATTCTGCAAATATTAATATTAAAATGGTAAAAATAATAAATAATAATAAAAATAAACTTAACGAAAAATACAAAAACAAAAAAAAATACAAATAATAAAAAAAATATACAAATTTAATACACAATACTAACAAAATGTATTGATTTTAATATGCTAGTGTGACTATTAGTTATATTTCAAAAAATACATCTTTCATTTCGAATGAAAAATAATTCCGGGCATTAATAAATACGTATCGAATACTAGAAATGCTGATAATGCAACAATACTATTATTATTTATTAACAACGATTATCTTTCTAAGTTAATATTTATTATTAAATAATACCTAGCAGTTTCATATTGTCGAACAGTGAGCAAAGTATCCTCAATTGTTTTGTTGCAAAGTGTATTAACGGATGAGACAAAGAAGTTTAAGGCCCCTAAGAGTGTCTCGCCATTTTTGGTCAAATTTCTTTGCGTTTCGGCATTATACAAAAATTCTTCTTGCAGCTCTGGTGATTTTTGAGCCAATTCGGAAAATGCCTCGCCCAACGAATGTTGCGTCTGAACTACATGATGAAAGTGGGATGCCAGAGCCCTGGATAATCTTAATAGATTGCAATATTTCCTTTGGGTATCACGTAATAATTCTATTTGAGTTTCTAGCTCTAAAATTACCATTCGATGAATTAGAATTTCTTATTTATTATAATAATATACTTGAATAGATATAATCAATATCATAACGAAGCCATTGTTACAAAATTATTTAACATTTCAAGTTATTATTTTTTTTCTTTTAATTCATGCCTAATCTGTATTTTATATCTTTTTACCTGAGTCTATAGTACGAGAAGATTTTCCAAATGTTTCATAAACACGTTGTTTAGTACATTTATAAGTAGAAATACTCCAGTTTTTGATTGTTTCTATTTTACTTTGCGCGGCACGTATTGCTGCATCTCCATTCTGGACAGGTGAATTTGGTGTTGTTGTTACTAAAATATTTAAAATGACATTTATAATTATTTTACTTTAAATATTTATACTTAAATTGTATAATATACGATATAATTGAATAGAGTTATTTTGAATATTACTTTGTTATGGAATGAAGAAAAAATAAATCAAGATATTAGAAATAATAGAATATTAAATGAAAGTAAAAAATAGCGATAAAATGTGGTAAATGCTTTCAAAGCACAAAAATGCACAACAGTAGTTAATAATGCCATTTCATTTATGGTTCTTTTATTACTTTTTTAAGCAATAATAATTAGTGCGTACGTATTCTGTATCTTGGGACAAAATTTTTCTACATATAATATAATGTCGATCGAATAACGTAGAATTAACGTACACGACTGAGATGTGTACATGCCAAGACTTAAGTTCATTGTGGCTGGTCTTGTTGCCGATTGGTTCTCTTTTGCTCGATTATTATTGGGCATGTGTGGCGGAGGTGTTCCAGAGTGTACTGCATTATCACTTTCGTTAAGCGATGGGGCATCTTTTAACATTTCATGAATACTGCGTTCCATTCCCGAAGATGTTATATTAACTTGTGGCATATCTTAATTACTTAAATAGCAAAAACTATTCACACTTTCTGAAAAATAAGAAAGAAATAAATGTATTTGTTATAAAAATTTAATACATTGAGGCGTATACTTGTTGTAAAGGAATTCCGCTATTAGATAAAGGGTGATAAAATTACGGTGTTAATTTTGACACGTTAATTTTATAAATCTCTACCTTATAGTATATAGTTGATGCTGTAAAGATCAATTTTTTAGAATATTGGAAATAATAATTCTATATCATAAGTATATATATTTAAACAGAGTGTTATGCAATATAACATAGACTTAACATTTTACGACAATATGCATATACATAATGAGAATAGTATTTGTCAAATGTGTTTGTTCTACAATAATATAATAAGAATCTTACTATGATGCAGCAAACCAATCAATATCAGAAGGATAAGACTTTGCCAATCACTGTAGCAAAGTTAACTATATTCTTCTTTTCTATATTAAATATCATTTCTTGCAACTAATTTTTGCAATTAACACACGTAATATTATTAAAAATTCATAATATTCAAAAGATATTTATAACGCTTTCAATCTTGACTAGCATTGCAAATAGACTTGTTACACACGCACACGCACACGCACACGCACACGCAAACATACACATACGCATACGCATACGCATACGCATACGCATACGCATACGTATACGTATACACAGTACTCCCTAGTAATTATCAATTACAATGATACAGCGATAGTTTGGCAATGTAGTTTTGCTGCAAGCACCGAACACCGTCTAATTTTCATAAATTAAATAACAAAAACGTTACCGTTCATTCAAGCCAATAAGTAAATTTTCTTGAAACGAAGTGCTTCGTATGGTAAATATACTGTATCACGTAGAGATAAGTTTCCCAATAAACGGCCAACTCAACAATAACTTTCCACGATCCAGTCGTTGAAAATCTCCCGATTCAAAGCAAAAAACGAGCAAGATATATCGTAAAAATAACGAAGGACCGAACAACTCACCGACTCATCTCTCCCTGGTCCCGTTGATAACTCAGGATGCGACGAGACTCCATGACGTCATGCTCGAAGGTGCAAATATAACTCGGGAGTCGCGGGGCGTTGTTGGCCACACTACCGCACTCGCGGCCTTCTTTTCAAGTCGTTTACGATTAGGTTCGTGTCGTCCTCCCGTGATTAACAAAAACACGAATGATCTGACCTTTAACGAGGTCGCGGATGGTTATGGCTACGGCAATGACAATGACAACGACAAAGACAAAGACAACGATGACGACGACGACGACGACGACGACGACGACGACGACGACGAAGACGAAGACGCGAGTCCTTACTCCGTCTTTCCTATTTCTTTACCTTTATGGGAGCTTATAAATATAGCGGCCTCTTTCATGGTGCTTACGAGGTGTACGTTATTCCGTAAGATTTTTGCGATCGCGTAAGTTAACATTGGTCGGTAAGTCAGAAAAGTCGTCTCTCGAGTTATTGTTTTGGCCGTTAGGTGTAGACGTGCGATGTTTTATGAAATCGCCGTCATAAACGTTGAGATGGCGAGAGGAATAAGAGTATTAATTCAAAGTATTAACGCAACTAAATTGTCACGCAATTATTGAAAAAAGTCGAAAAATGTTCGTTACATTAATATTTTTTTCAATGAAAGCTACAGCGGGAGTAGTACATTTATGGGGTTTTTGTAAGTCTAAGCTTGACAGATAAGTGGATTGTTTAATTTTATAATGAAATCATAATAATAATAATAATAATAATAATAATAATAATAATAATAATAGTTTTAACGACAATTTTAGGAATTATGAATTTTTACGTCAAACGCTTTCTTTCAACTGTGCAGCATTTCTACGTAAGTACATTAAAAAATTTATTTCAAAGACTGGATTGATATCGAAGACTATGTCAACTAAATAACGTCCTTCACCCTTTTTTTAACGAGATAATTTAGCTAATTCATAATATCTTTCATTATTTTGAATTTCGTATGCTTTCCGTGCTTGAATTTCTCAGTAATTTCCAAACGATGCGCATACAATATACGGAATCGAAATTATGACATTCTTTTTAATTTAATTTTTTTTTTATTCATTTTATGGAAAATCGAAAATACGTTTCTTCAATTATTGATTATCCAAATGAACAATAAGTTATAAAAATGAATTTCTTGAATATTCATATCTATATCTAAGGATTATGTTAAATTGAAAAAATCACTTTCTGTTATAATTTATCATTATAATGTAACGGCCAATTGATTAATAAAAATTAATAATATTAATACAACGAATTGAAACGTAGAATAAGAATAAATTGCATATTGTTAGAGTGAAAGAATAACGGCTGTATGCAAAGAACTTATTTTATTTCAATAAATTGCTAATTACATTACAATATACCAAATTATTGTACATTTGTAATTTTTAAGGATATGTTAATCATTATTTATGCTTACAATTTGCATAGTAATGATTTTTTAAGGCTTCGTTTTGCATGTGAAACGTTAAGAAATGAGAAAATATTTTTCAATTCTAATAATGTAGTGTCGTTGGCATACTTAAATTCTTATGTTCACAATACAAACTTGTATAATTAGCGCGTAACTTTAATTTGCTAAATGAATTTTGTAAAGAAAACTGTTGCAAAATGTTTTACAATTAAATTTCAAATACATTAAATCGATGATAATCAACAATCACGGTTCTCATATAAAGAAACACGCGCAATTCATTATTCAATTTATTGAATATGTGAAACAATTCACTTTTCTTAAAGGCCAAAGCAATATAACGGAGACTGGATTTTTGTAAGAGGGATGGACGGTGATGTAAATCCGAGAGTGGACGCATTATCTCATTAACTCTCTCTCTCTCTCTCTCTCTCTCTCTCACGATTTATCCGATTGTTTTTAAATATGCGACACTTTCGTAAATTTCATAGCTGATTGTTGCGCGATTGTAATCAGTATGAAACACATTTTTCGGTTATAGATTTAATAACGTCGATATTAATGTTTGATAAATAACAATTCAATTAATAAATAGTATGTGCAGGCATGAACGATAAATGGCTTCGTTAATTTATCGAATTAATTATTATTGAATAATAATGAATGCAAAGTGAAAGTGGTCGAAAAAGCTTTTCCCCCTCTATTATCAAATGCTCATAATACTTATTACTTTTCCTCGCTCGTTCATTACTTATGCCTAACTTTAAATTACTTATGTTAAAACATCGGACTTGAGTATTGCGATCTATACGCACAAATCGCTGAATGCACTCAAGTCAAAAGCATCACTGCGTAATAAAAGAGCCGAGCCTTTACTATTTTTCAATGCATTTTTTTTTCCACCGTGGGAAATGCATTCAATTTCGCAAAGTTACACGACATAAAAATAAGTTATTATTTATGAACGTTTTAAATCAATCAGCGCGCGCGCGCTTTTTTTTTTCTCTTGTTCAAGTATTCTAATGCGTTCGTGTGCGCAAGGCTATAAAATTGGACGAATAAGTTTTCAAGGTTATCAGAAGCATCGTAATAGCGCCAAATAAAAACATCAATGATATTGCATGGGAGAAAATCGTTATTACAATACGTGCGCGCATTAAAGAATACAGAGACTTATTTGAGCGATCGGGCGACCTTCGCTTCGTGAAAATGCGGGCGCATCAGATGCAGAAAATATTAATGTAACGGCACAATTTACATATAATACTGTAATTCCCGCTTTTTCACCTGGCTATCCAGCATACCGAGGTTGTAACTAGCATGCGCCATTACTAGGGGAAATTAACGGAAGGGAAATAAGCTCAAAGCAAAGATAAGAGGCAAAGATGGAGAAAAACCTTGAGAGAGCGAAATTTTGCCTATCCAATATGAAATTAAGCGAGTGCAAGAGCGATCCGATGCGCTCCACACAAAAATGGAGCACACGCGCAAAAAGTCTCTGCTCGTAAAAGTGCTTTCGCAATAACCGTGGCTGATCCCCTCCCGCCATAGCCGTATTATCCCGAAAGCAGAAGCAAAAAGAAAGCCGGCGCTTAATCGCGGCAATCAAGAGCGAGGCCCTCGTATCGCGAATAATAATCCGCGCGGGGCGACGTCCGAAAACGGTCAACGAGGTCACGCGCCGACCGACGATGTTTATAAGGAGAGAACGAGCGCCCCGGGGAAAAGAGGTATAAAGCAACAAGGGTAATACCAGTGCATCTCTCTCTCTCTCTCTCTCTTTCTCTCTCTCTCTCTCTCTCTCGATTGCGAATAAAATGTATTTCACAATGTTTTATGTTACGTGCTGCTTACGTGATTTTGGGGGAGGAAGGAGAGTTTTTTTTTTAAATCGGTGGGCTGTCACTTTTTAATTTGTTTTTGAAGGTGATATTTATTTTTGGGATAAAATTAGCCTTATGCTTGGCGATTCTTCTGTCAAATATACAAAGGCTGTCGGGAAAAGCAGCGGCCTTCGAGAATTTTCGACATTTATATATAATTAGTGTTAGACGAGGAATTCGTTGTATAGTGGAAACTCATAAAAGTACTACGAATCAATGTATTAAGGATACAATGATAATAGTTTAATCTCTGCTTTCTCATTTCGGATAAATTTCGTCCGAGTATAGGGAAATTTTTGTAAATTTTGATTAATTAAATTTAATAGAAGAACGTTTATTTAATAATTTACAATAAAGCGATTATTCATCGACTGTTTTTATTATCTTTCCTCAATAGAGCTAATACCGAGACAAACAAATTTTTTAATATTTCATGTGAGATTGCCTTCCTTGATATAGAAAATATTTTCTTCTTCTTTTTTTTTTTTATGTTTTTTACTTAATACAACAATATAAGATAAATCTTAGCATTTTGTGGTGATTCTTAAAATGTAAGCTCAGGTCCGAATACGTTAGGAAAGCCAGAGGTCATAAAATAAAATAAATGAAAAATGATGTTCGAATAAAGAGTAAAGTAATTTTTTAAGTTAATCGCGAATAAAATTTCGAATTTCAAATTTAGTATAATAATTTATCTACTAATTTGCTATTATAATACCAAATGTTTTTCAAAATTTTTAAACTTTGTAAAATGATCTTCGCCTTAAGCGATTTTTATTAAAATACAAAGTTCGCCAACAACTATTTTTATATGCATATTTTTATATTCTCTGTATAATAAAGTTACGATTTCCAACGCAATGTATGTTAAAATAATTGTTAACGGCCAAAGCCGTAGAGTATGAAAATTCATAAAAAGTAAATCTGGCTTTAAAATAATTGATGCTGGATAACGATAAATAAGAATGAAATGTTTAGTTATACACAAATTATTATTATTAAAGTTGACAAACGAATGTTAAGGTAGTAAATGTACGTGTAATAAAATTAAATTTTTTTTCCATTCACGCTAATTTATTTATCATTCAATTTTCTTAATATTCAATTATTTTAATTGGCTATTAATACGTAATAATAGGAATCTGTCAAATACAAACAACGTTGCGCTTGTTTTTGGTAATTTTTTGTTAAATGTAATTTGATAAACGTGAGCCACATAAAGTAAGAGAAATGAACCACCGATCGGCCTACGGATCGATAATGCCTTTTACGTAAATACTTAAATTATTTTATTTTCAATCAAATACAATTTTCTTTTACACAATTTAAGTATATTAAAATAATTATATTGCCATTACCGCATGCCAAGTAATAGCTCCATTTTAATTGACATTAATTTAGATAATTAAGCGACGCATACATTAAAACAAACAAACTGCTTGCTTCATTCTTCCAGAATATTTGAAAAGTACGTCTTAAACATGTGCCACGTGAAGTGTATCTCTTCTTTGAATACTCGAAGTAAAAAATGTATCGTCCAGACGATAAAACTGTTGGGGAGCCACTAACGTAAGACTCTGAATGCGCATTCCAGTGATGAGCTGTAGCGCACGAATCTTCGGCTGATCCGTAGTAAAACCAGTTTAAATTTTTTCTCGTTTTTACATGCTGAGGTGGACAATAATCACTGACATAAATATGACTACCGTAACCGCGGGTCGCTAAATCGCTAAATACATCATGCGCTTTCGTATAATTTTCAGATTTTTTACACTGGGCGAAGTGATGTGAGTGTACGGATTATGCTTGTAAAATTCCTTGAATTATTATGAATGATATGAATTAGTATCTATATTCATCTTATATTTCTAGTAAATAAGAAAATGTGCTGATTTATTCAAAATTTCGTACTTTAAATTAAAT